AAATTATATATACATTGATATTAATCATTTTTTATATCATTTTTTTATATTTATTATCAAATAAATAATTTTATATAATTTCAAATACATATCTTTGATTTCACAATATAATTTGATATATTTGATTTCATAAGATATTGCATAGATATTAATATATACATTTTTGTAAAATATTAAATAAGTTTTGATTCGATATATTGACTTGCTATTATTTTGAAAAGTATCGATATTGTAAATTAATACCAAATATCTAAAATTTTGATATAAAATTTTCACCAATGTCTTTTATTGTATATTCTGCTATTGAATTATTGGAATATCATTAGTACTATCGATATCAATCATTTATATAGTAAGTTAAAAATCATAATTTTTAGAATCTTTAGAATCTTCTAGTGTCTTGTCTAATTTTAATATTTTAATATTAATATTAATAATTTAATATTTTGATATAATTTATAATAATAAAATATCAACAGATTTCATTTTATTATTACCTCGATAATCGATTATAAAGATTCATAAGAATGTATATTCATTTCTTTTTATAAATTTACAAATTCTCAATAAACAATATATAGTGTTTGTATCATTGCTAGACAATAATTTTTTTGTAAATGATATGAAAGTGAAAAATTTGTATTCTTTAGTAATTTTGATAAATATTTACATTGAGGGAGCTATTCCGATAACCTTGATATTGACATATATCAAGGATATTCGTTTAACATTCTTTAAAAAGTTATAAATTATTAAAAATCAGATATTTTCCACGAATTTTCAAGATATTTATATGTATCTATATATTAGGAAAAAGAATATTTGTATTTATGTTGATAATATTTATATTATCCTATGATCTTAGGCAGATTATAAATCCAGATTATCGTATCAATTTACAATTAGAAATGATGAAACAGTACAGAAGACTGAAATACATCCACAGATTATCGTATTATTATAAATATATCATCATGTTGTTTTATGAATTTCTCTAAATCTAAACTAACGAATCTTATCTCAGTTAACCAATACTAAGATATTCACTTGAAAAATGTTCTTTTTTTAATGATTAATAATTTTTTAGAAAATAAACGGCTAAAAATCTCTTAAAAATTATTCAATAAAATATCCTTGACATATGTTAAGATCATCAGAGCAGTTTTTTCTTTTTTTATATTCTTATATTTTTTAATGTCTTCTTATATCTTTAATTTTTTAATTTGAATGTTAAAATTTTTTGTAAAATATATATGAAATTAAAAGTACTATATTCTATATAATAAGAAATAATTTTTAAAATAATATTATTTGTAAATATAATTTCTATAATTGTATCATTTTATATATCATTTTATATATAAATATAAATATTATATAACATAATATAATATTTATATGACTTAATATAATTTATAATATGATTAATATATTGTTATTAATATAAAATGGATTTAATTCTTATTTCCTATACAAAGAATTATTTTTTATTTCATGAATTTTTTATTGATATTCTCGTATAATAAATTTATAATAAATATCTTATAAAAAAAATTTTCGATTTGGAACATTTTTTTTATTTTTTTTTATAATTTAATAATTATTAATAAATATAGATAAAATATAACGATTTTTTAATAACTAAATTCATTTATTTGAAATAATTGATTTATATTAAATACGTTCTTTAGTAATTTAGTTAATTTTGGAGTATTATGTAACTAACTCGATATTAAGATTTTTTTCTTTAGCTTATATGTGCCATATTGTTAATACATAATTAAATATGTCTCATGAATTGGAGACAAATCTTTAAAGTGTAAATTTCTATCGATGATACGAATATTATCGGTAAATTTATATATAATATTATATGATAACAACAAATTTTACGTATATACAAGATATTGTAAAATTAAATTCTTAAATTTTAAACATTCAATTTAACCTTATTTTTAAAACATAAAGAAAACATCAATAACTAATTAATATTGCATATTTATACAATAGATCAACTTAAGAATTTTTTCATATTATTTTTTTTTAACTTAAAGTCATTTTTTTTTATTTCAATATATATAAGTTAAATCATAAAATATAATTATTTTTTATAAAACAAACTTCTATTTTACTTTTTCGAAAAATTTTTTCTGTTGATTTTTTTAACAAAATAAGTTTTATCTAAATAATTTTTTAAAATCTTTTGCACTTACTATTTATAAACACTTAATGAAAACGATATGAACAAAAAATCACTCTTTTTGGTATTTTCTTTAAAGTAAAGAAATAAATAAAATAAAAAAAAAATTTTAGTTTACAATTAGTCCAATTGTAAGAACTATTAAGCAGAATTTCATTTCATTTCTTAAAAATTAATTTATGTTCTTTATCATTTTATTTTAAATTCATTTTGTTTTCATTGTAACTCAATGAATATTTTTTCAATAAAAATATATAGATAAATAAAAAAATATTTTTTTTACATGAATTTTAATTACAACAAAAATTAATTACAACAAAACGAGTTTGATATATTTATTTTTTGCATATCAATGAGAATAAAAAGATTTATATAATAATAATAAATATAAAATCATTAATTTTTTATTTAATTTATAAATTATAAATTACGAAGAAATAAATATATGTCCATAGAAACTATATAACAATGCAAGGAAAAGATGATAAGGAAACATTACTGTTTTGAAAGAGACATTGTAAATTTCTTGATGAAAAATCTATTCAGAACGATCATTTTTTTTATTTCGTAGCAATATTCGTGCATATGCATTCATATTCAACTTAAGTCATTATTCTATCACAGTTATCTAAATATAGTATGATTGAATTCTTTCAATATTAAAAATATTAAATTTTTGTTAATTTTTCAAAATAGTTTTGAGAAATATTGTTATTACATTATAACTATTTCTTTCTTACTATATTTAAATAGGTATTTATTTAAAAACAATAATATGAATCATCCGCTATTTTTCATTTAATATTAAATTAACCATTAATTAAATTTTCCATTTATTTGTCAAGTTTATATTTTATTTATAAAAAAAATAAAAAAAATAAAAAATAACGAATAATTATTTAAAAATTATTAAAAAGGACATTATTTTCATTTTTATTTCCATAATTATTCTTTCCAAAATAATTCCAATTCTGAATATGCATTTATTATATGTTAAAAAATTCTTTTTTTGAATATTTTTTTTCATATTTTTCATTCAAAAATGCCACATAAAAAATCGTGTTGCAAATAAATATTAGTATAAATAAAATATAAAAAACAATAAACAAAATTTTATAAACAAAATAATACAAAAGAAAAATTTAATAAAATCAATTATAAATTTTTTTAATGTACCTAAATTATACTTAATTTTAACCAATTAGGCTTATAAATTACTTTGTTTATGAATCAAATATTAATAATAGAATTTATTTATTTTAAATGAAGAATGTTATCTTTCATATTATTTAAAAAATTTCAAAATATACTGTGAATTAACTATTATATATAGATTAGAAATTACAGAATTGACATATCATATGCTTTTATTTTTAAAAAAGTAGTAAAAAGATAAAAAAAAAACTAATTTGGACTCAAGAATTTATTAAAAAAAAAGAATATTACATTGATAATGATTTATATTGAGTATTTATATTGAGGATTAAAATAAATCGACAATATTAAATCTAAAGAAATAAAAATTAATGAAATAATATTAATATTTTTCTTTTTTATTATATCTTATTTTATTTCTTATTATTATTATATTATATATTATTATATTTTTTTTAATACAATTAATTTATGAAAGAGATAAAATACATTTTTTTAAAAAATGAAAAAAAAATATGTAAATATAAAATGAGATTAATGATATTACATATATTTATATATATAATATATGTAATAAAGGTCAACTATTTATATAGTTAAATAGTTGACCTTTATAATATTATTAATTAGAAGTAGAATAATTTTTTAGTTTTTTTATATCTAAACAAAAATATCCCTTTTATATCATATCTCCCATATTATGTTATATAAATGTTATGTATATGTTATATGTTATTATTATCATAAATTAAGTCATATTATACAAATTTATGTTATGTATTAAAAAAACTTGTATTGTATAAGAATCTATAGTATACATATATAAATATATAAAAAACAAAATAAGTTAATTAAGTTAGTATAAAAAAAAACTACTTAATTATTCTAATTCAGAAACTATTGTATTTTTATTTTATTTATTTTAAATACTATACTATAATATGTATAGTAGATATATATATATATATATATATATATATATATATAGAGTATATAATTTTATATGATAATATCTTCTTAAAAAAATATTTGACTAAAATAAAATATTAAGACTAAATATAATATTACTATTACTATCTTTTTAAACAAATATATTGATACTATTAAATATCAAAATATAAATCTATAAATATAAATTTATATAAATGTATAAATAATAAAATATAAATATTAAAATATAAAGTAAAATTTAAGTAAATTTAATTTCAAATGTTTATCTATATAATATATAAAATAAAATAATATATAATATAAAAATGTAAATCAAATTAATATTCCTAATAAAACTTATAAATTTTTTTATATTTATTTTTATTGCAAAATTTGAATAAATTTTAATGAAATATTTAAAAGAAATTTCAATATATAATTTAATTAAGTTAGTAATTAAATTTAGAATAATATGGAATAGAAGTTTTATTATTAAAAAATATTTATTAAAAAAAAATTAATTAATTATGATAATCTAAAAAGACATTAAAAAAATCTTTATTTTAATAAATATAGAAATGAAGTTTTTTTAAGAGAATCATATTCAATATATTTGATTATTATCCATATGATAATCATTAAATTGATATTTGTCCCAGGAAAATTCATAGATTTCGATAATAAAAAAAATAAAAAATTTTTAGTCTATACTTACGTTGTTGCTTATGCCTGGATTCCATAAGGATCATTTGTTCGTGTTTGTGCCATGCAGCATCAGTAGTGTCTGTTCCCGCCATACCCCTCGCACCTGCAGAGGGTGGTTGGACACCCCCACGGCCCCCACCGCCTCCACCCCCGCCGCTTCCATACTCCATACCAGCGGCACCCTTACTCTTCCCTCCCTCCCACCCTTTCACTTCTGCCCCCGGCAGTCTTCAGATGCTCACAACATGGGGCACGCCAGCCCTCTCAATACCGCTTCACAGCGCGCGCACTCTTTTCTTCTCTCTTTCTCTTATTCTCCGTACTTCTATTTTTCTCTTCTTTCTTCTCTTCAGCCTTTCTTTTCCAGGTGTTTTTTTTCACGATCTCTTTCTTTTTTCTTTTTTCTCTCAATCACTACACTCTCGTTTTTTCAGCTATTTTTGTCGATTCTTCTCTCTCTCTCTCTCTCTCTCTCTCTCTCTCTCTCTCTCTCTCTCTCTCTCTCTTACTTCTTTGCTTGTAAAAATTTTTATCAGTCTTTTTAAATCTAAATTAATCACTTTCTGTGAATGATATTCTTCTAGAATTGGAAGAAACACGATCGATTTTGAATGAAAGTTATAGAAAAAAAGCTCAATAATAATTCTGACACTGTATCTATTTCACTTTCATTCGCTTTTTTCCTGTTCTTTGTCAATGTTTTATCACTTTCTTCGTATATCCTTCTAAGAGAGAGAGAGAGAGAGAGAGAGAGAAAGTCCTCCGAACCTTGTTTAGTTCAAGGACTTCTAAAGGTCTTCTCACTCGTTTCTCCTCGTTTTGATGTAGATGTATCTTCTTTTCCCTCATACGAAAAATAACTCTTATTTACAGACACTGAGCTTTTTTCTTTTTCACTCTCTCTCTCTCCCTTTTTATTACACAATCTACAAATGTGTACACCTGCTTTTCAATACCCTTTTCAATTGTTTTCGTTCTTAAATTCTTTTCTGTCCTTTTAATTAACTTTATCAATTTTCAATAACAATATGTATAGTTCTCTTTTTCCGTATTCTACTGTACTGCTACTTCACTTGTTTTTTCACACAGCAAATTTCACTTTTCATTAAAATCAATCCTCATTCGATTCCACTATTAACTCCCATAATTATGATGTGAATGTCTGAAAGCAAACAATAAGCGATTACATTATTATTTAATATTTACTATTGATATTATATTATATTTAATATTTATTAATCAATTTTAAATTTATTTATTTTTTAAAAAAAGAAAAATAATCATAAATTCTTGCAATGTAATATCAAAAAACTCTTGAAACTTAAATTTTTAAGAACAAAAATTAAGATCAGTTATATTATTATTATATAATTCACATTGTGTTTTGTAAATATTTATAGTTATTTATAAATATTTATCAATGCAATATAAAATCATAATTGATTAATAGTTTTATTTTGTAATTTATTTTTTTAAAAATATTCATATCATACTATCTTTGAATGATTGATTCTAGAAATCAAACCAAACTCAAAAGTTGATATAAATTGATGCTTATTTAAGTTATAAACAACTTAAATTCGTATTAGATGACGCAAGATGAAAACAGAATGCGTAACGGAACTGCGCAGTCTCACTCTATTTCTATATTACTTGGTAAAAAATATTCAAACATCTTTAAAATGTAATAATTATTTCAAAATTGAATCAAACCATTTGAGTTTTCTTGAGAATTTAGAAGAATTAGTTTATTAGATGTAAAAAGTATGAAAAAAAATTTTAAATTTTAAAAAAATTTTAAATCTAAAAAAAATGTTTGAAAAAAGATAACGAATATTTAATATAATATAATATAATAATATTATATTATATTAATATAATATTATATCAATTTAACAATATAATTAATATTATATTATTATAATATAATGATATAATAATTTTAATATAATAATTAAATATAAAAATAATAATTTTTATATATATATATATTTTTGTTTTAAAAAAACATTAAAAATATGATCTGAAATTGATATATAGATAATAAATAAACAATAATAAAAAAATATATCAAAAAACTTTAAAAAATCATAAACAATTGCAGATATTAAAATACACTCTATATTATTTAAAATTTTATTTCTTATATAATTTATTTTTTATCAATATACATCAATACACAAATTTTTTAGTTAATAAGAATTTTATAGTTAATAAGAATTTTTAAAAGTTAATAAGATTTAAACTTATATATTTATTATATGTATTTATTATGTATTAATAAATATTATCGATTAATTATTTAATTCGTTCAATTTTCATTTAGAAGTATTATAATTTCTAAACATACTTTTTATGGCGAATATATATACTATGAATATATATATATTGTAATTGTATATAATAATATTTTCTTTTTAATATAATAATAAATAAATAATTTTTTAAAACAATATGATCATTTACAACAAAATAATTCTTTATATAAAATTTAAATTGATAAGAAGAACAGGATAAAACTATTATTAATATTATTAGATTTTGATACAATTATTACTACAATATTCCTTTCTATATTATATAATATTTCATCTAATGAAATATTCTCATATGAATATCCTTATATGACCAAAAAATAAAAAATGAATGTCATTTCTTTCGAAAATAAAATATTTTCATCAATATTCTTTTTAAATATTTTTAATATTTATATATAATGAATAAATTTTCAAAAGAATTTAAGAAATACGCTTAAACGAAATATAACAATTTTCTTCTAAAATATTCGATCAATTAAAATATGCTTTATAATGTTAATCCTCTTACTTTCAAAATATGTCATAAGTAAGTTACCGAATAAGTGTCGACGGTAAATATGTCACCTATTATTAGACATGTTGTTTCCGCATATGCGCACATAAGATATGTTATGTACAGGCTTTTAATGAAAAGAAAAATACTATAATTTAACTATGTAATATTAACTTTTCGTTAGTTTCAAAGTAAGTTTAATCTTATTCGAAATTTACAGTATTCTTTTTATATTTTATATGATTATATAGATGTAATATAATATATTATATATTATATATAATATATAATATATATAAATGTTAATATTTATATTATTATTCATTAATATTTATTATAAAAAGATTATTGATTATATTATTAAGTAATTGAAATTTTAACAATAATATTTATGCTATAGAATGTTAATTAATAATTAATTTAACTTTACTAAATAATTATACTTATAGTTTGAGATATTCGTTTAAAATATAAATATTCGTTATATATATTTGAATTGGTCCTGAAATCGCTTACAAAAATACATATTACCATTTAAAAAAATCAAAATAACTTTGAATTTTTACATTGAAATAAAACTTTTTTTTAAATTTTTAATGTAGTTAAATTATTATAATTAAATTATAATAATTATAATTTAATTATAATAAATTTAATTTTTTATAAATTATTATAATAAATTTATATATAATTATTAATATATGTATAATTATATATAATTATATATATGTATCATTATAATTTATGTATAATTAAATTGTTAATGTAGTTTGTGACCTATTCAAAAAATTTTTTATAAGAATATTGGAAGTATACCTCAAAAATCGTGAAGATAAATCTAAATTTTAAATTATTATATTGTATATATTATATATTATATTTATATATATATTATATTATATTATATATATATATTGTATATATATCTTATATATATTATATATATTATATATTATCTAGAATATAAAAAAATTATAATTCTAATTGAAGCGGCTAATCATTGAAATGAATTTTAAAAAATGTCATGAGTAGATGAATATAGAATTTATTAAATTTAATTTTTCAATTTCGAACATTTATTAGTTTCTAAAATATTAATTTTTATTATTATTATAAAAACTTTCAATATCAAACATAAAATCTGTCTATATCTGTTTGTATCTATAAGATAGTCAATGTTGCTTAACGGAAAAAAGAATTGTTTACGTTAAGCTAGATTTTTTCAAGATGAAGATCACTTATATATTTAAGCATATTTTTAGCGTAAAAACATATATCAATCACATATTTTTTGTTTCTAATTCTTATTATAATAATTCTTATATAAAAAGTTTTATAATCATAATAATATAATAATAATATAAAAGACAAAATTCAATTTATCGCTTAGCATTAAAAATAACACAATTTAAAAATATAAATTTTAAAAAAAAGACTTTTTGAAATTGACATTTTTGAAAATATTAAATAGAGATATTATTATTATATATAATTATTAATTAGTTATTATGTTTTTTTATATAATAAAAATATAATAAAAAATAAAAATATAAATAGATCTTGAATTCAATAAAAGTAAATTTCAAATTTTTTAATAATATAGTATATCAATGGCAAGTAGTAATATAATATTAAAATTTTTTTTTTAACATTTCAGAATAAATATTTAAAATTAAAATTTTATATTTTGGGTCCATTCCTATTTTTTCAGCTCGTTTATTTATTTATTAATTATTATTTATTTTTTAATTATTCAATACTTTATGCAAATTACTATTTATTTACTATTGATTTATTCATTTTATAAAAGCAAACAAATTATTTTCTCCCCAATTTCAATAATTTTTAAATATATTAGAAAACAATTTTAAACTTTTTCATATGTTTATATTTTTATTATAATTAGAAATCGGCCGTTATATTATATTAATTATATATATATATATATATATATATATATATATATCAAAATGCAACTACCATTTATTAATTATTTATATTGTATAAACACGTCATAAAGAATAATATTCAAAATATATAATGGCTCAGCTAGATATCATTAATATCTATCTATAGAAAGTTTATCTTTCTTTGAATCCGCAGAATTTGAAAAAAAATATAAAACAATTCTTAAGTGATCGAAATTACAATAACTGATATTACAATAAGATACTAATTACAAAACTGATTATGATTGTAATTTTAATCATTGTAATTTTAATCGTTTTATATATCATTTTTAATAAAATATTGTTTTACATTTTATTTTTGTATTTCACAAATTCATGGAATGCCCATTTATAAGTAAATATTAATAATATTTGTAATAATAAAATATGATAAATTTTAAAAACAAAATGTCCATGTATGGTATCCATTGAAATCAAAATATTTGAAATCAATCACAATTGATAAGAAAATAATTTCTCACTTATTATATGTAAAATTAATTATGTTTTTTGGTCTACTTGTTATACGTATTAGTTGTCTGCTATCATGATATATTTATATTAACAAAAGATAAATGGCAGTCGCCTGCTTACGCGCGCTTACATACGTTTCCACAGATATTGCACTAAATGAAGTTCTAATAATAATTCTATAAATAATTATATTTCTTTTTTTGAAAATATTTTAAAAACTAAGATTGATACCGATTATATATAAAAAAAAGTTGTTCAGAATATCTTTATTTATAATATATTTAAAAATCATCAATAAATAAAAAATTAGATAGACAAGCAGTTTAAATTATAAAAAATAATTCAAAAATTAATATATCAAAATTGATTAATGAAATAGAAAAGTATATAAAAACAAAAAAAGTAAGTGATTCCATTATCATAAGGATTATTAAATATATCACTATCAAAGGATTATCATAGATGAATTGCATGAAATAAACTCTATATATATATATATATATCAGTAAATAAAAAAATATATAATAGAAAAAAACAAAGAAAATTCGTAAGAAAGTATTTAAAAAAAATTTTTGACATTTAAACTATTATATTTATTTATAACTATTTTTTAGTTATTTTCATAAATGAATCAAAAATTTAATATTTGCATTATATAGAAAAATAAAATATGTTAAAAATCTAACGAAGATACAAAATCAAAAATGAAATTTGAAGGAAGATATTACATAGTTTGCATATCAATTTTTGATGTAAATCATCTATTTATAAATGAAAAGATGATTTAGATAGAGATATTTATATATATAATATATAATATATATAGAACGTTTCTATATATATATTCTATATATATTAAATATATTAAATGTTTAAATATATTAAAAAATAATGTAAAATACGGAAAAAATAAATCTTTTAAATAATT